TAGGAATCCTAGATTTGATTAATTACTTTTTCTTGCTGAATTTCTCTGACTAGAAATTTCAGTATAATAGTGGTGAAAGCAGGTATCCTTGTCTTGTTCCTGATCTTATGTGGAAAGCTTTCCATCTTTCACATATTGAGTATAATTTAGCATTGGCTTTTTCATAAATACCCTTTATTATGTTGAGACAATCCTCTTATATTCCTAGATTTTTTAGTGTTGTTGTTGTTTTTTTTTATCATGAAAGACTATTGGAGTTTGTCAAATGCTTTTTCTGCATCAATGAGATAATGATGTATTTTTCATTTTCTTATATTAATGTAATTTTTATATGTTGAATCACTCCTTGCATATTTGTGAATAATTTCCAATTTATCATAATGTAAAGCAGGGGTCCTCAAACTACGGCCCGCGGGCCACATGCAAATACAAATATTGTATTTGTTCCCATTTTGTTTTTTTACTTCAAAATAAGATAAGTGCAGTGTGCATAGGAATTTGTTCATAGTTTTTTTTTTTAAACTATAGTCCGGCCCTCCAACGGTCTGAGGGACAGTGAACTGGCCCCCTGTTTAAAAAGTTTGAGGACCCCTGATAAAGTTTTCTTTAATATGCTGCTGGCTTAGTTTTCTAGTATGTTGTTGAGGATTTTTGTATGAATATGCATCAGGACTTTGGAGGTGATGGATATGTTTATGACTTATAGTGTGGTAAATAAACAAACCAGTAAAATATGTACATACCATATGAGCAAACACTTCCACTGTTTTGTATTTCCATAGAAATATAGGTACACGCATGCACAGGAAAGCATAGATAGATGTCTATTGTGGCATTGTATGTAAGAGCCAAAATATTGAAAATAGCCTAAGTCATCACAAGGGAAAAGGCAAATAAACTGTGGTCAACCTGTATAACAAAAAAAAAAACTACAGTCATGCCCTAGCTGGTTTGGCTCAGTGGATAGAGTGTTGGCCTGCGAACTGAAGGGTCCTGGGTTCGATTCTGGTCAAGGGCACATGTCTGGGTTGTGGGCTCGATCTCCAGTAGGGGGCATGTAGGAGGCAGCCTATCAATGATTCTCTCTCATCATTGATGCTTCTATCTCACTCTCCCTCTTCCTTCCTCTCTGAAATCAATAAAAATATATTTTTTAAAAATACTACAGTTATTAAAAAGAATGAGATTCTTATATTGAAACATCTTTAGAAATATTGTTAAGTAAAAATAATATGACAATAAATATAATATAATATTTAGTTAAAATGCAAAACAGAAATATATAAATTTCTAAATGGATATACGTCAAATTGTGTTTAATTGTGGGTAGGGAATTGAAATTGGAGGTGTGGTGAAAGCAGTATATTAAGATGAAAGAGGCTAGCTCAGTGGCTTTAGAACAATTTATTACTCCTTCATGTCATAGTTCAATGAGAGTTACTGGCTCTTTTGCGTGGCTCTGCTCCATTGATTATTCAGGTTTCTAGCTTGCATTCATCTCACAGTCATGTGTTCCAGATGGCACACATGGTTTCCAAGGTTACTGAAAGGAGAGTGGAGAGACCACCCATCCATGTTTATAAGTATTAGAAGTGTCTTATATTACATTTGATAGCCCCAACATATGTGCAAAGGAGGCTAGGAAATGTAAGAGAACACATACTTTTTGATTAATAATTCTTACTTCCCAGAATCTATTCCATAGAAATAAAAATACCAGTAAATTTGATATCTGTACAAGCATGTTAATTGCAGGCAGAATTGCTTTAAATGGGCAAAACATAGAAATTATTTGAATGTTAATTAACGGGGGAATAGTTTGAGTAATGTAAGGTACATTCAAACTATAGAAAATATATTTATTCGCATTTGTATGTACTTACCTCTGCAAAATCCTATAAGACTTCCAAGCAGAAATAAAGACATAGATAAGTAACTCAAAAATCATATGAAGAAATAAACAACAATGGCAAAGGTAGCTACATGGGTAAATATAAAAGTAAGTAGTTTTGCATATTTGGTTTATAACACCTCTTGTTTTCTATATTACTTAAAAGACAAATGCATAAAACAATAATTATAAATCTACTAGAGGCCCAGTGCATGAAATTTGTGCACTCGGCGGGGGGTCCCTCAGCCCGGCCTGTGCCCTCTTACAGTCCAGGAGCCCCGCGATGGATTGCCCCAAAGAGGTAGGCCCTGCCCTCCTGGCCAGGGCTCTTTGATGGATCGCCCCTGCAAAGGGAGGCCTCGCCCACCTGCCACAGCCCACCGGTCGGTGGCCTGGGCCTCCCTCTGCAGGGCGATCATGGGGTGATGGCTGGACCCCCGACCAATCGCATCACACCCACCTTGTGGTGCCAGTGGGGGTCATAGCGTGGTCGTCTGGAAGGTCGTCCAGACAGTTGTTCTATTGTTTGGTCATTTGGTCGATTTGCATATTACGCTTTTATTATTGTAGATGTTAATGTGCACAACCACCATAGACCATATTTCAGTTGAGTTGTACAGGAGTCTCCTTTATAACCAAAGAGCCTAATAGTTTATAATTCATGATGAAGGGCACCTGAAAGTCATAATGTAATATTATAATATTTAGTTAAAATACAAAACAGAAATATATAAGTTTCTAGATGGATAATCATCAAACTGATAAGTGTTTAATTATGGGGAGGAGATTAATTGAAATTGGAGGTGTGATTAAAGTATATTAAAATAAACTAAGTAGCCCTGGCTGGTGTGCTCAGCGGTTAGAGCATTGACACAAGCACCGAAAGGTCTCGGGTTCGATTCCTGGTCAAGGGCATGTACCTGGGATGCAGGTTAGATTCCTAGCCCTCTCACATCAATATTTCGTTCTCTCCCCCTTCCTTCTACTCTTTCTAAAAATCAATGGAAAAAAATAACCTCAGGTGAGGATTAACAAAAAAACCAAAAAAGATGAACTAAGTAATTCATTAATGTGACATTATTATTTGTGGTAATAGCCACATAAAATATATAATGTCTTTATTTAACAACTAGAGGCCCAGTGCACAAATTCGTGCACTGGTGGGGTCCAGTCGGCCCGCCCTGATGGGGGTCAATCGGGGGTGGGGCCGGCTGGGGGTAGGGGCTGCCGGTGGTTGGCTGCCAGCCCCGTCTGGGCTTTTATTATATAGGATAATCCTGGAGATGTAGCAATATAATAAATTCATTCTTTTCAACTACTGTGTAGTTTTCTTGGTATAGATAGACCACAGTTTATTTAAAATTTCCCTTTCGATGACAGGCTATCTTCAATATCTTGGCTCTTAAAAACAATGCCACAATAGACATCTATCTATGCTTTCCTGTGCTCATGTGTATCTATATCTCTTTGGTAATACAAAACAGTAGAAGTGCTGGGTCATATAGAATGCACATTTTTTTACTGCTTTATTTGTCTTTTTGGTTTTCATTTGTAAAAGCTATTGTGGTATTAGAGATATTTTCCCATGATCTGTCATTGTACTGCAAATATTTTCTCCCAGGTTATTTGTCTTTGGACCTTTGATAAGTTTTCTTTATAACTTCTGGATTTTCTTTCATGCTTAAGAAGATAATCACATCACAAATTATACATTTTTTCTTACTTAATTTTTATTTCAATATTTTATTTTAATTTTTTAAACTAAATTTTTATTGATTTCAGAGAGGGAGAGGGAGAGATAGAAACATCAATGATGACAGAGAATCATTGATCAGCTGCCTCCTGCACACCCCACACTGGGGATCGAGCCCGCAACCCGGGCATGTGGCCTGACCAGAAATAGAACTGTGACCTCCTGGTTCATAGGTTGACATCAATCACTGAGCAACACCAGTCCAGCTGAATTTTGCACTTTTAATAAGCACTCTAGATGTAAGGAGCTACCTTTGTTAAGAGTTCTGTTATACAATGTTGCAATAATTTTATAGACTGAATTTGGTGAATGATCCCTTTCCTATTTCTCTAGAAATAGATTACTGCCAATTTTATGCAGTCAGAAATATGTTTATATTTCATATGTACATGAAATATACATGTACATATGTTTATATACATATGTTTATATGCATATGTATATACATATACTTTGTAAGACTAAAATATATACACATATCACATATATACACTAAATATATAACACACATATGTATATATGTACACTAAAAGTATATATTTTATATATA